GGAGGGGGGGTTAAAGGGAGGAGAAACCAAACTGATTGGGGGTGAAACTCGCGAGAAAAAGTGATAGTTATATTTTTCTATCAAGACTTAGTTGAGTAGATTCTGATAGTTAAGGGAGGAAAAAAGGAACAACTTATTATAGTTGGCATAAATGAAAAAGAGGGTAGAAAAATGGAGCAAGTGGTGATAATTTTGATAAGAAAAAGAAACAATCGATAGTGACAATTCTATTTTTCTACCTAAACTATCACCATCTATTAAAACAAGCCTAGTTAAACGAGAAAAAGTGAACAACTTATAGTTTATAAGCTTAATCAGGTTCAGAGTGTGCTTTTATACATAGATGATGATGGTTCATATAAAAAAAAACAAATGATAGTTAAATGTGGCATCCCGATTTAAGATAAGCAGTTTCACATTGATAAAACATATGAGAGATGTTGGGTTTATAAGTAAGCAAGTCTTACCCATCAATGACGCGTTTCAAGTAAGCAGGTCTTACCCACTAATGACTCATTTTAAAGACGTACAGACCTAAGCCCAAAGCGGACAATATCACTAGCAGGAGCCAGGATGGACTGTTACATTAAGGTGTGAAACTTGTGAAAAAAATATCAATTTTGATATGTTTTTGATTATTAATTCCAACTATAATTTGGTATAGTCAAGAAGTTATTTTTGGTTAATTACAATTTTTAAACTTTTTTTAGAGTGCAACTAACTTTGGGACATGACACATAATTATTTTTTTCAAATTGAAATTCAGTTATGGAATAAGTTTAAAATATGTTCTATATATACACTTAATTAATGTTTAGATGTGTTTGTTGTCTATCTTAAGAATTAGTGGCAAACATAAGTGCATCGGAGTTTTGGATGAGCAACACAAATATTTATTATGGTGTGATCTATTCGTTATATATTTGAATCGTGACACTAGTCATTAATATATTTATGTTAGAATAAATTGTCTACTCGACATTATATTCCTTAGACATTTCTCCCCCAAATTTTACATAAACACAATATTTTATGTATCAGATCTACCTTTTATGTATTCAATGTCTATCTTAAAACATATCGATATCATAATCTCAATTACTAACTTGATCGTTATCAAAATAAATAAATAAATTAGTGACTCGATAAAAAGTTGCTACCACTATTAGTATTCGAGTTCCATTGAACTAAAACACTTAATTGAAAAAGACAATACGCGAAGGCGGATTTATGATTTAAAATTTATAAATACAAATTAATTATCTACCTCCAGCCCTAACTATACTTTGAATCTAACTCTAAAATCGCTATCACAAATGTTCAATTTTTTGAAAGTTCAACTTCTATACGCAGATACTGAAATATTAATTTTGTAGCATCCAATTCAATTCCCTATAAAATGTTAGAGATATAATTGATATGCCCAAAATTTAATTTCACGTCTAAATTTTTAACATATTTTTATTAACATTTGCTTGTTATTGAACCTATGAAATCGCAGTTCGAAACTCTTTTTTGTTATGCATAGTTCCTCCTTTGTTTGCCGTTAGAAAGCTGAAAACGGATAAAATGGAAACTCTTTTTGCTAGGTATATAAAGCCTAATAATTTTAGTAAATACTGTAATAATTTTGTACCCAAAAATAAATAATTATGAAATCACACACTAATAAGTGTTTTGATCTCTTCTACAGGATTAAATTATTTTTTTATTTGTTAATTAAATTAGAGAATTTTATTAGTCAAATAACTATTAGTTTAATCAAATATTATTTTTTTATTAGGACAAACAATATGATTATTTATCATGAAAAAATTATTTTTATTATTTTAAAAAATTAAATAAATTATATTTCTTGATTTATTAAAAGGGAACTTATAAGTTAGAATCCAATTTGGAATTGGATTAGCAAATAAGTCCACAAAGGAGGTTATGGAAGCATTACCTATTTGGAATGGAATTTCATTTTTCCAAAATTGGACATAATGTGGAAAGTCCATAAATTGTTGCTTTTTATCAGCCATCATAATCCATTAACAATAGGATTTGATTTATCATGAAAATTTTAATTATATTAAGTTTGTATCTAAGTAACTTACCATCTTAATCATATAGAAAAAAGTAAGGGAAAATTACGCAGTTAAACAAACTTATACTACTTAATTACTCATCATAGCTATAGTTTGCTATAATTACGTATATCACTCACGACTAACATTATACATTAATTATGTGGGCTGACTTTGAGTTTGTATAATTAGCTACGTTTGTATATGTATAATTCGCCAGAATATACAAATACATATGTATAATATATAATTATCTAACATATATACATATATAATTCACCTGTCTCCCACTCCCTGCCCTCTCTCGCTCGCCTCTCACCTCCCTCTCCCAATCTCGCTCGCCTCTCTCCTCCCTCTCCCAATCTCGCTTGCCATATATACAAA